ACCTTACTCCAGATCCATACAGGTCAGTTTATAGGTTCAAACCTTACTCCAGATCCATACAGGACAGTTTATAGGTTCAAACCTTACTCCAGATCCATACAGGACAGTTTATAGGTTCAAACCTTACTCCAGATCCATACAGGACAGTTTATAGGTTTAAACCTTACTCCGTATCTACGTAGGTAAGGTGCAAACAAGTCGTAATTTCTGTGAAGTATTAGGTCAGCTCCATAAAACTATAGTTTTTTTTTGTAAACAAACAATATTATGTAATCAGTGATCGATTATGGCGGGTCCTTTAGTAAAATACTATAACTATTACCCTTTCACTGCTCCTTCCTATTATATCATTTCTATTCAATTATTTGTCGACGTTTATACAAACAGACAAGTTTTTATTTAGATTGGGTAAATTAATAATTAATAGTGACTTCCTTTTTTAGATTTCTTTATGTATAAGAGTGGAATCTATGGCGTTAGTAATCTAGCCAGGGAGGAGGTTGTGGGATATCATGCTGTTAGGATAGTTGGCTGGGGGGAGGAGAGAGGGATCAAGTATTGGACCTTGGCGAACTCTTGGGGCAAACATTGGGGAGAAGAAGGATATTTCAGAATAGTCAGAGGGTCAAATGAGTGTAAGGTAAATTTAGCATTAGTTACATTTTATAATATCAAAATAAAGATTTAGAAACCAATTCTTTATTTACTGTTAACGGAATTTCTTTTGACATGCGTGACTGACTTTTCTCGTTTGAAAAGAAATAGATTCTGTAAACTTCCTTCTTTGTTTCTGCTACATAAATCCTCAACCTTGCTCATGAAAGGTTTAAAGAGAACCGACGTGAATGAAGCATGTACAAATGGAAATGAATTAACGTGAACAGTCCCTATAAATTGATGAAAAAGGTTGAGGAGTTTGTTCTTGGTGTTTGGCCGAAAAGGAATATGCGGAGCCCTAGGGTGCGGCACAATCAGAGGGATACAGCCAGGTAAATACCATTCAGCAATCTTTATTTATAAAAACAAAACTTTTGGTAGAAGAAAGACCAGAAAACTGTGGAATAGGAAGACGATAATAAGAAATAATAAGATCTTTGATTGAAATGTTTCAGATTTTTCTCTGAGCGACAAAATGCCCGAAGAACCCGGCACGGAAGACGACCTCTGCGCGGTGGTCATGATGGTAAACAGAAATATCATCAGGTTGGGTAGAGATCTGTAGAGACATTGGCTTAGCAGAGATCTACAGAGATCTTTGGTTTAGCAGAGATCTACAGAAATATCATCAGGTTGGGTAGAGATCTACAGAGATCACTGATTTAGGAGAGATCTACAGAGATCATTCGTTTAGTAGAGATCTACAGAGATCATCAGAGATCATTATTTCAGATCTTGCCGGTCTATATAATTATTCAAAACTAGAATTGGACATTCAAAATTATCCGTTTAAAAAAGCAACAAATTCTCTCCAAAATTATCCGTTTAAAAAAGAAACACATTCTCTCCAAAATTATCTGTTTAAAAAAAGCAACAAATTCTCTACAAAATTATCCGTTAAAAAAGCAACAAATTCTCTCCAAAATTATACGTTAAAAAAGCACCAAGTTCTCTACAAAATTATCCGTTTAAAAAGCAACAATTCTCTCCAAAATTATCCGTTAAAAAAGCAACAAATTGTCTCCAAAATTATCCGTTAAAAAAGCAACAAATTCTTTCAAAAATTATCCGTTTAAAAAGCAACAAATTCTCATTCATTACGTTACGCTAAATTTTGTGCTTTACAAAGAATATAAGCCTGAAACCAAATAGAGAGAATAGTTAAACTTCTTTTTATAGTTCTCCCATTTTAGTTTTAGAGAAGTGATTCATAAAAGTGCAGAAATAAACATTTAAAAATTAACATTACACAAAACCCCCTTCAAATGTTTAACTAAAACATATTTTGAAATTTTTTGTGAAAGGCTTTATTTAGATAAAAAGCTGTCCACTACTAAAGTTAAAAATAACTTGAATATGATGTATAAAAGATTGTCTCCACATATAGGGCATTCATAAATTTATTAGATTAGTTGTGATTAGTATCAATATTAGTCAAATTATTTGCCATATGTTTATTATATAAATCTTTAAATAGAAGAAATGCCAATAGTCAAAAACTAAATATTTAAATAAATTAAAACCAACGTATACAAATGTTAAAATATCAAATTAGAAAAGTTATCCGTAAGCAATGTCTTTTTTTTGTAATATATTTAAATTTAGAATGATGATATTCTTAATATGGTTTTCTTGCATTAATTATAAATTAAATTATTATGGCAGAAAAAAAGATCTTTTTCCTTGAAATGTGTAGATGTATAATGTACAATATTATGTACTTTCAGCTCGAGTCTTTCAGTAACTTGATAATAATGTAGTAAATATTACTTAATTCTGAATTCACAATTAGATAAAATATTTTTTTCTGAATTTTTCTCTTCAATAATTTTCTATTTCCAACCATGTGAAATGCGGATGATGTTATTATTGGTAAAAATGTCGTCGTATTGGAATATTCTTATAATATTTGTATTTGTTTCAGCGTTCAATATTTCGTGATTTTTGAAACCACAAATACCCAAAAAGATAATTTACAACAAAAAATATTAGTTTGTAAATAAGAAGCTTTGTCTGATCAAGTATGAATAAGAAAACCGTTTTTTTGATTTTGAGAACTGTTCATTTTAATTTGTGGTTTCCCTGCAAAGATGACTTGCGCATTTCTTGCGTCAAAAGCAACAGAGAAACAATCAGAATTAAACACTTTTCAAGCCAGAATTACGACGTTCTGATCCACATTGCTGATCAGATAAAGATGTCAATTGTACCGTTGTGAATCGGGTTCTCTGTAAATGGAGGCTCACTTCAAATTCCCAAAAATTGAAGTATTTAAATTGCTATAAACACATATTGTACAATAAAAATTGTAAAATCATTAAACAGTATATTATGTATTACAACTGTATAGTTTATAAGTTTTAATTTTTAACTCTTTATTGTGCATATTAGAGTCAGAAATTGGCTTTCATGTCAAGATTTAATAAAAATATAGTTCGCTAATCTGAATAAAACTTAGTTTATAGATGCAGTGTTAAATTTTCGGGACAAAAAAATTTACTTTAAGTTATATTTTTTAGTAGGTTTTTGTGGTTTATAGATTAATTGATTTCTAACTGATTTAGTATGTGTGTAATGTGTCCATTTTGTTTGGTTTGGTTAAGTGTCTTGAGAGTTCGGTTTGGTTTGGTTAAAGTTTCAGCTGTTCACACAAGATCATGTTTACTCTCACCGTTTCCCATGTTTACATTCTTTTAATAGATAAATATTCAATGCTATCACACACAAGCGATATAATGGTTATACATTTACAAGGGCACACATACAATGGTGCACTACAAACCCATTTTTTTATTTGTCATTCTAAAATAAAATTAAGCATACAAATTAAACTTACAATATCAGTGTACAATTAGCTTATATAGAAGCAACAACTAGATCTCATGCTTTAAGCGTTTCTGAAAGTATTCAGAAATACAAGGTGAGAGAAGAAATGGCAAACTAGAAAAACTTTAGTCAGGGGTGTATATGGGGGTATACACCCCTGAACACAATTTGAAAAGAAAAGACTGAACTACAAGTAAAATTGAAGGCCTGCATTCATCCTTAAACACTGTATGTATTACCATGGAGAATGGAGGTTTTTTACTTAGCTGGATCCAGATTTTGCTACTGACAGCTTTATATATACTTAATAACACGCCTGGTTAGCTGTTATCAAGTATCTGAACTACTCAGAATCAGAAACTACTCGATTGAATCTGGTTCTATGGTAAGCATCAAGATGTCAGCTCAAGTATCTGTCTGAGATGAACTTAAAAAGAATCAAGAATTATTTTGTTGCTTAACCTTTCTTATCCCATGTGTCATTATAATAGCAGAATTCTGAAAATGGATCCTTAGAATTTCCAAACCCTGCTTAGCAGTGACTTTTATTTTTCCAACCTGAAAGAATATATATATAATAAATATGAACAATAGCAGGATCAAAATGATGCATCATCAATCCACAATCAGAGAAATTTGACACCTCTGCATGAAACACAAATAGTATTTTTTTTTAATTATACTTAATTTGACATGTATGGCGTCAAGATATCAAATTAAAGAAAAGTATAAAAAAGTAAATTGCAAAAATAGAGAACTGCAGCTCTGGGCAATATGCGTAATATTAGAGTGAAATAAAAGCAGAAATATGTGTCAAAATGCATTTTTCCCTTGTTTAAAAGGGATTAGAATGCGTTTATCTACAAAAGATGAACAAAAAATGGATGAATGATCACCTAAAAAGAAGAAATTTGAAATTTTTAAACTTATAATGAGTTTTAGAAAAAAAAAATCATTTTGATAGAAAGAGAGAGAAAGAATGGTTATTATCTACAGAAAGAAAAAAACTTTACATTTCAAAAGCCTTTTTTTTGTTATGCAACAATTTACATTGTATCTAACAACGTATTTGCATGCAGGTCCTTATTGAAACCACCGCTTCACAAAGAAATTTCATTTACAAAAATTAGATTCAATGAAACTTCAAATCCCCTCGGACTTCAATAATTATTGATAAATCCTCTATTTTTTTCAAGTAAATGAGACATTTTTTGAGAGGCCTATACTACGCAGACAATTTCCAGGGGGGCGAGCTTATTTTTTTTCTTTCCAGGGGGCTCAGCACCATGGGGTCTGAAACCTCCTACTGGAAAGCATAGATTTCACTGATCCAAGGGGGGGGGGGGAAGCCCCTACAGCCCACATACGCCTCTGAGCGAGGATAAATTGGTAGAATTATAGAATAATAGACATAATTAATTTGTGCATTTTGAAGTATTAGAGGTAAATATTTGAATGCTCTCTGTGTTTTTAACAGCATTTTTATATTTTCGAATTCCAAGGTGAATTTTGATTCCAGCATCTTTATTTGGGGTGTTAGGTACTCTATAATTTTCGTCAAGGAAATGTATTCTCTGTTCCATCTAAAGAAGGGAAGAGATCGGCGCATTTGTTTTTTTTTTAAAAAAGAATTATCGTTTTTTTCCACCTGTTTCTTTCGTTTCCTTACTGAACATTTGTTCAGAGTGAGATGGTAGTTCATTATAAATAAATTTAGAACTTTATACTGACCAATTATGAAAATAGGTTTTCAAGCATTACATTATTTTTATATTAGAAAAACTATCCTGAAAATACACTAACCATAGTAATCCATTCATGTCAATGTGCATATCAAGCCTTGTAAGGGACAAGGGTTAAGTAAACGAAATAATTGGATTGCTATATATCAGATTTTAATTGGAATATCAAACATTGAAATGAAAAGACTTTCTATTAGATATTCAGTATATCTGAATAATGTGTTCCACTAGGAGAATATCATTATTAAGCACAATAGTGATGTACTTTTAATAGTGATGTACATCACAACATTTTTATTCTCTATTGAAAATATTTTCCAAGTGCAATTGTCATTTTTGGGCGGCAGAGACACCTGTTTTCATACTGCGTCTCATTTTTTCTATTCAAACTTTTAAATTTTTTTTGTTCTTTAAATATTCAATAATAACGTAATGCAGTGTGCAATGTACACAGTACGTACAGAGTGTCCCAATAAACATTGGAATTGAGCGACGAATTTTAGATGGTCTTTGTTAAGAATTAGCAGTGCCATGCAGTAACACCTAATTTCAAAAGCCATAATTTTGTTATGTCTGCTAGAGTTTATTTATGAACACGGTAAATGGCTGCAAAGATGAGTCTGTAATGTCTAGCTGCAAGATGATCTGTGAAAACGACAAGTTTACTCTGCTTGAATTTTGTAATTTTTCTTGTTTTTGTAAACCGTATACACTATGCAGTCAAAACATAAACAAACGAATTGTAAACATAGTAGACGGAAATCTTACGGATTACTGCTTTCTCAGTAGGGATCACTATACTAAATCAAAGAATTATTTAAGAAGATGATATCGAAATCGTCACTCAATTCCCATTTTTTTTTGGGATACCCTGTTCTCTAATTGTGTCTATGAAAAAATGTCGCGTAAATGGAAGACGATATTAAAGTCGCATGTTTATTTGGACCCTCTCTACAATGTTTATTGTGTTTTAGAGAATAACATTAATGCATGTTCCGAAATCATAGTTTAGCAATTTATTACAATTAGACACCATGAAATATTGGAAAATAGAATTCATAATTAGTTGATACAAAAATTTCATTCAGAAGACGACATTTGAGAATACGACATTTACAATACTATAGATCTAATAGTTTAAGCCGGAAATTTAAACTATTTCTCATTTCCTCACACGGACTAGGATAATGCTCTGTAAGTGGCAATCTTAATACATCACATGGTCTGTTGCAAAGAATATTTATGACATGGTGTACATTGTAAATATTTATGACATGGTGTACACTGTAAAAATGTATGACATGCTGTACACTGTATATATGTATGACATGGTGTACACTGTAAATATGTATGACATGGTGTACACTGTAAATATGTATGACATGGTGTACACTGTAAATATGTCCGTTCTGAAAAACTCTTAGCACGGAAGCACAAAATAAAATTAAAGGGTTTGTAAACATAATTTCTCGTAACCCACATATCCAAGCGTATACTTGCCTGATTTGCAACTGATGAGAAAGATATCTTCAGTTTTCTGTCTTACAGTGAGGACCAGAAAACTTTGGAATAGGGGGAACATTTAAATAATTATTAAGTGTATTTGATGTTGTTACAAGGGAAATAGTTTTACTAGTAATTTGTTAAATCATTTATAAAATAAAATGTGTCTGTTCACACTGCAAGAATTGCTATGTCTTATACTAATTGGACTAGTTAAATTCATAAATTGAGTCTAAAAGTCGTCTTCTTATTCCAGATTTTAATGGTTCTCACAGAATACATCAGCAACTGAAGTCGGCGATAATGAGAAATGACCAAAATTTAAAATAATAATTTTTTAGATAGAAAACAGGAATTTAACCATTTTATCTTTGCTCAGACATTGGTTTCAAGATTACCATTGAGAATTGGTCCTTGGACAAGCAACTTTATAAATGATATTAAGTCACCAGAGCAGGGGTCCATATAATTCCCAAAATAGCTGATTTTCTCGATCCCAAAATAATTTTTTGCCCCCAACTTAAAAAAAANTCCAAAGCCCCCCAAAAAAATCCGCGAACCTTTTTTTCTCTAAAAATCAAGAATTTAGAAAAACAAAAATGTGTAAATAAATTGTTTCTATCTAAATCTATAATTTTTAAAAGAATCTCAGAAAATTTGCAAAATTGTAATTAGAAAATTCACAATTTTCAGTTCTGTTGTATTTTTTAGGGAAGAATTGTTTTTCATTGGTTCTTAAGGTTTTAACTGAACATCGTATATTTAATACTTTAGAATATACTAAGAAGAAAGGAACTAGAGAATTTAAATATAACTTTTCCTTAAAAATTAGAATTTTCTAATTACAATTTTGCGAATTTTCTGTGATTCTTTGATTCAATCTTTTTAACATTTTAGATTTCCATGGAAATAATTTATATACACATTTTTGCTTTTCTAAACTTTTGATTTTAAGAGAAAACAGGTTTGC